TGAAACATCTTTGTTATCTTAATTTGCATTTTTCTGATTTCAAAAAAGTGAAGTATTTTTTTCCAGATGTCTCTTGGCCATTCCAGATTCTGCACCTGTGAATAGCTTTTAATAAGTCTCCCATTCCACCTGATACACTTGTCTTGTTTTAATTGATTTGTAGGGATTCTTTATAAACTATGGATACTTCATCATATGTTTTTTAAATGGTTCTTTTAACTTTATGGTGCCCATTGCCTTATACCACAATTCAGACCCACTGCTCTTAATCCTGACTCCCTGTCACCCTCTAGGACAGAGTGGAAATACCCTGCTGGCTTTCCAAAGCTGTAAGTCTGTATGGAAGCAGACTGCCTTGTCGTTCTCCTGCACAGCAGCTGGTGTGTTAGAACGCTGACCTTTTGGTTAGCAGCTGAATGCTTTAAACGCTGCATCACCAGAGCTCCTTCAGTGCCATATAGATGCTTAAAATTTTGACAGCAGTGAAAGAAGTTAACACAGTTGTGCAGAAGAAAATGAGTGCCTAGGAAGGCGCTAAGGTAGGACCCCCAGTCTCACTAAGAAAGGTACCTGAGGAAGGCTGCTCTCTTTGATCAGGCGTGGCAGCTGCCGCTGACGCAGAGCCCACGCACAGCTGCAAGCACAGGCCAGCTGGGGGTGCAAGGCCCACGGCTGGTGTGCACCGGCAGGCACCCCCCTGTGAGCACGCGCTGCGGCCCGGTGCTGCCACGGTGGGCTGCCTCCTCAGGAGCATGTGGAGTGCCTCCCAGAGGACAGACCAGGCGATCCCCTGCCAGCTGTTGAGACAGACTGGAAACTGAACGCCCGGACACGAGTGCGTCCGAACATGTGTCTGTACTTGACGGTTCTGAGTGGGCTGCAGAGCTAGAGTGTGGTTATTGACCGGGGCTGGGCTTACAAGAGGCCTCTACGCTTGAGCGGATGGGGTCTTCAGCAGATCAGATACACGTGTAGCTGTGCACAAGATGCACATAGTACCTTAAAGGAAAAAACAGTGCTTCTCAAAGTCATGTGGGTTTAGTAGCCAGAAGTTCAGGTTGTCAGTGACAACGGATCAGAGTCTGGGTGATTTGAATGCATCGTTAACCCTTGAGCTGGATGTTGTGGTTGGTTTTGAAAAGTCCTTGTTTGTTTGTGGTATGTTCTGAGGTGTTTACTTTAAAGGAAAGAAGCTAAAGAGAAAAATGTTCTCCTTTTGAATCTTCACGATGTCTGTGTGGGTAACTGATACTGTGTTCTCCTTCGAATCGTTGCTGTGATCTGGAGCGGATTTGCAGATGGGC